GGCTGTGCCTTCACCATCACTTCCTGGCCGAACATCATCTTCTTGCCTGCCTTGGTGGCCTTCTTCTGGCGAGTCTTGATCATGCAGAGCCCTGGAAGAGTGAACTTGCCAGTCTTCTTCACCTCCCCTGCACCAATCTCGGCCAAAGAGTTCAAAATGCTGGTGATCTGACTCTTCTTCATCTCGGTGGCGTTGGCCAACTCAGTGGCAAGACCTCCCTTGGACATCACCTTCTGACCCTTCATGGCCTTCATAGCAACCTTCTTGGCCTTGGTAGCCTTCATTGCCTTTGCAGGAGCCATGCTTTCCAAGGATCTACAGCAAAATGTCACGAACAAGCAGCTTGAGCCAGACCAACTAGCATTATGGAGCTCAAGAAATCTGCCACTTCAGAGCTCAAGAGTGATTGACATCCAACATCTATCCTCCAACCTACACAAGCAACAACACCCGTCCATCAAACTTGCAGCAGGGCCATGTGCCAATTCCAAGAAGTCCATGATCATGTCGTCTATATCGTCTATGCTTTTAAGTCTATGCAAAACAGAGTCCGAAACCAGTGCCACGATACAGACTGAGAAGCAAAATGACTTACCTTTTGACACTTTCTCTCAAATGGTAGCTTGCTATCAGCGAGAGGTGATAGTGTACAACAAGCTGTGCCTCCAACAACTAGTTCAGCTCCAATCCCCCAAGGTGCCACTAGCCGTTTTCGGCTACAGCTCCACGGCCTAAAGAACCATGGCTTCAGATCTGGCTTTTCAGAGCTGCCACCGGAAATGCCTTCACCACGGTCTTCGCAGGCTGTGCCTTCACCATCACTTCCTGGCCGAACATCATCTTCTTGCCTGCCTTGGTGGCCTTCTTCTGGCGAGTCTTGATCATGCAGAGCCCTGGAAGAGTGAACTTGCCAGTCTTCTTCACCTCCCCTGCACCAATCTCGGCCAAAGAGTTCAAAATGCTGGTGATCTGACTCTTCTTCATCTCGGTGGCGTTGGCCAACTCAGTGGCAAGACCTCCCTTGGACATCACCTTCTGACCCTTCATGGCCTTCATAGCAACCTTCTTGGCCTTGGTAGCCTTCATTGCCTTTGCAGGAGCCATGCTTTCCAAGGATCTACAGCAAAATGTCACGAACAAGCAGCTTGAGCCAGACCAACTAGCATTATGGAGCTCAAGAAATCTGCCACTTCAGAGCTCAAGAGTGATTGACATCCAACATCTATCCTCCAACCTACACAAGCAACAACACCCGTCCATCAAACTTGCAGCAGGGCCATGTGCCAATTCCAAGAAGTCCATGATCATGTCGTCTATAT